ACTCCCAGTTACGGTGACACTGATTTGAAACTCCAATTTTGAGCTTTCAGAAAAGATGAATCCTACAAAGAAGAGGTCAATTAAGGTTAGTTAATGTGCCATAAAATATTAGGTTTAAAAAAACATAAATGGAATAATGATCAAATAAAAAGCAAAGCAATTTCATTGCTCCTAATTATTCTATTTTCAATGCCTAATTTCACAGTAACCCTTCAAACCTTCATCTGGTAAATAACCAAAAGGTATTGTGAACAGCTCTACTTTAATGTGTTTAACAATGCATTAAATTACTTGATTAAGCGGCTCTATTACACTCAAAGGTATTTTAGTAGTGTGCTAAAATCTCCCATGATACATGATTAAAAAACGGTGGTAGAAGTGTTTAAGTTATATTTATTTTATTCCTATGTATTTCTCTTTTGTAGTTGATTGTATTTTTAAGTTTTTTTGTATCTTACAAGCATACATTGGTTGTTAAATGAGGGACAAAACAGTCTATGTATAAACAAGCAAATAATAGCTCTTAACCTTAAAATGCTAATATGCCCATATGCAAATTTAGTGGTATTTCATTTGAAACAGAGAACAAGAATAATTTCTGTACACAGAGATGTATAGTAGAAGTTTAGAAAAAACATTTTGGCACTATTACTTCATCTTTCAAGAAATTACTGGATGAGGCCATCAGATCATAAAACTACAAGCAGGCACATATGCAACACAGTCAATGTTGCTCTGACCATTTATATTTTTTTTTCTGTGTTAAGTAGAATAGTGATAACTAGATTACACACAGGGTGTATTATTTATATCTAACACATTTATTTGTGTGATAAAACAGAAGTTGCCAAAGAAAACAACACATTTATTCAATTACATTGAAGTACAAACATGGGATTTTGTTTTACTCTGCTCTAAAAAGGATATGGCACAGAAAGATATTTATGGAATAATTCCCATCTTAAAGCTCTGTGAGTAGCAATAACTCTACTGTATGTACAATTAATAACTTTAATTTAACATTGTATTGATCCATCATTCAAATCTTCGAGGGCTAGCTTGCAAATGCCAAAAAATACAATTTGTCAAATGTACTGGTACTGAGTATTGTTTTTGTACACATTGTACTGAGATATTAAAATGAGTCAGATAAAAATGGTTCACCCTGTATACGTTATGTGAAATTGTGTTGATATTATGTTTTCTTAAGTGAAGCAAATATAAAACATTGAACCAAAGTAAAACTTTTTTTCTTGTTTGTTTTCTTTTATAAGTATGAGTTAAAAAAGCCAGAGACAACTATGGAGCAAACTATTGTATAAAAGCATAACAGAAACAGATAAGCAGCTGGAATAATAAAGTAAGCAATGATACATCCTTTCTTAAACAAAAAACCCTATGACATGCACTGCAAAGGTCAGAAATGTCCATAACTTGCCAATGACATTGGATATCTTCAAATACAGAGGAGAAAATAAATTAATGCAGTAACTCAGTATTGACGTTAAAGTATTTAGACACTGTAAATTAGGAACGATGGACTGTGAAATATAAAGTATATTTATGCCAGAATGCCCTATAAAGTGTTACTAACCTGGAGAATATTATTATATTTTTAAATGCAAATAACGATTTTAAACAGATACAAACTTTCAGACAGCTAAAAACCATTGAATATAGATTATATAATGACTGAAAAATAGCAGGTCTCAAGAATAAAAGAAGATTTTTACTTTGATTTAATTAAGATATAGTGAAGTTTAGTATATGTACTGTAGTACCGATTTGTGAAAACAATACTTTATTCAGTATGTCAAGAAATGTACAATGTTTTATTGACCCACCTTTTAAATTATAGAGATTAATTAATTAATAAAATAAAAATGAAATTAATTTCTTTCTTTGTTTGGGATGTGTAGTGTGCTCTCTGAAGGCACCAGTTCTGTAGGATTTGGGCATTTACCGGGACAATTATTAATTGTAGCCGTAAATCGCAAAATTGTTCTTTTGATGGCCTTAGAATCCAACCATGCAATATAACTTAAACAACGCACACACACAGGTACTAATACACGAGGATACATTTATTAATACATAGAATATGCATGTAAACCTAACAGATCTTATCGTGAGGGTTATCAGAATACAAAAGGTATATATTCAGTCAGTTACGAAGAGTTATATATATCAAGAGGACATACGTTCAGTATATCATTCATTTAGACTGTTTCGTAATTGAACTTGGTTATAAATTCTACATTGGATACTCAAAACAAGTACATAACTCTTAGGAATTAAATTGATATCAACTGGTTAGGATAACAATTGAATTCTTGAGCAGTAATGCAGTGAAATTGAATGCTCATCCAATCTCTGGGGATTCAGATCTCCTGCAGGCTCTCTGGCTCCGTGCCAGGCTGTGCTGTGCTGCTTGTGATGGTGCGCTGCTGATGCTCACTGACCGGCTAGTTAGTGTTGGCTTTAACTAGCACAGTTTGTGCACAGGAGAAAAGATGACTGTGGGTCCCAGCAAGTCAGGAAGAGGACCGGTTCATTCCTGATGAAGCGTTAGTTCTTAATAGTGATTCAGCTGTCCACAGTTCCGACCTGTTCACGAGGCTTGCTGCTGGTGCTAATCTTGGGTGGATCCTCTGGTTACTCTCTGGCAAACTCCGCTCTAGACTCTTAGAACAGAGGAAAGTTCTGGCACTCGGACACACTGGCTGTTCCGTGGTTGTCCGGGCTGAGTCTCAAGATGGTCAGGAGGTGTGCTGCGAGAATGTTCTGCCCTTGGGAGCCTTTCTGCTCCTGGGCCATCCTGCCCTGGAATTGTCTCGCACCCCTGGAATACTCCTTAGAATTCTCCTACTGGAATAGTCCTAGAAGCCCTGTGTTGCCTATTTTTACCTGGAGGAACTTCAGCTCGTTCATTGGCTGAAAGTTTCCTTGGGTTACTCGACCCTACCAGTCCCTGATTGGTTGATCAAGGTGAGATATGAGTCACTTACTCCTGACACCTAGGAATGCAGTCCAGATGTCCATCTGGCACTCCCTAGACAGATAGGCGCCAATGGATGACCATTGATCATGATAGCCAGGCTTAGCTAAGTGCATCCCCATTTGGGAGCTGTCCCTTATCAAAAGTAAACATCTTTAAATCAGCCTGCATGAATAGCTTCTCTGTGGCTGCACCACAGAGATGAAGAGAGAGATGGGGCCTCATTTGGGAAAGCACAGCAACACTTAATTCTATCTTATTAACAAGCACTGCTGCTACAAATGGAAAATCTATAATTCCAATTTTTGTCTTCTAAATACTCGAGATAGCGATATTCTTTTGTTATTTATTCTGTTATGATTTTTGGACGTGGCTATTGAGGTATCTTAAGACATTAGATACAATGGTTAACACCTGACTGTGTCAAGTTCTTGGGAGCTTCAGAGGTGACACATTGATCAAAGTGTCCAAGGTCCTATAATAAGAAAGAGTGCAAGATCGTCAACATAGACCTGAGCAATATCCTTGAAAGACATGGAGGCACAGTTGAAAAGAAGTTGGAGAGAATGGGTGACCTGATTTACAGCTATGGGCAGAACGATACAGAGTGATTGAGTAAAAGAAGAACATTCCATCTTTACAGTTGATGTCAAAGAGATAAAGATAAAAGGTCTCATTCAGGAAAGAAGGCAACTGAAAGGACAATGGAGGAAAGCTGAAGATGAGGAGGGGGGATCAATTTATTGGAAGCAGATATGAAGGAATGTCTTGCAACATTGTGGAGAGCAAAAAATCTTAGGAGGCGGTGAAAAAGGAAGGAACGGAACACACGTCTATAAAAGGACCCCTTCAAATTTCTGAAAGGACTTTATATAGAGTATAACTTGAAATAATCTGAAGAACCTCATCTGGACAGCCTTCAATTCAAGACTGGAGACCATTATAAATCTTGTTACAGTTTGCTTCCAAGATGTGGAATTTTGCAATTTCTGTTGTTACATTCTGTTTTTTTTTACTTCCTTCCCGTCTGGAGGTCCATTTTTTGGAGGTGGATGTGTCGGTAAATTGTGTCTTTCTCTGGATTGGTTGAAGAGAGCAGTCTGATTTTAAATGCCTGTACAGGACATCCAGAGAGTTTGGGAAGAGAGGTGTAAGAAGAAGAAACGGCAAAAACGCTTTGTGTATTTCCGTCCGTTAAACCCTGGCTCATATGTTAGTCCCAATTCACCCCTAGACTGAGCCATATTGGGGACGTAATATGTTTTTAAAAAATCTATTATAATTTCATCAGAGGAGACAATTAAAAGCCTGTGGTAATGTTATGATGCAAGCCTCAAAGACACAGGTATACTAATTTAGGTGCAAGGTGACCAAGGTGGCCTTGAGAGCATTGATAAGACTCTATTGCCTGCCAAATTGAAGTTCTGGTGCCTGCAATTTGGGTCATTGCCCTATTTGAGCTGTTAACGAGCTACGAGGTTTCCATCACAATGATCGAAAAGATAGAGAAAATGGTCAGCTTATATGTGAGAAAAATGCGTAGGTCTTTATGGTAATGGTGACTTGAAAATACACTGGAGATTTGAGACAGAGACTCTAGCAGAGGAGGAATAAACTCCCCCTGCCCATAATGATTCTGTCTAATGTTCCATCCTTGAATGGCACAAACCTGGATGCCAGTGTGTAATTGTTGCTCAAATTTTGTGATGCCTGCACACTTGATTTTACAGAGCCATGGCTCGATGAGGCAATAGAAGATTATATGGTCAAGCATGAGGCGTTCTTTCTACACCAACTGGACAGAGACACTGTGAGCACAGGTAAATATCACCTGTGCTCAACTGTGGAGGGGTCTATCTGATGATTAATAACTGCCAGTATCAAATTATTAATGTTCTTGGGAGTCTGGGCATGCCTAACATCAAACTACTGTGTCCATCTCTCCTGATAGATAGAGAGTACTTTATTAATCCCGTAGGGAAATTGACAAAAGGTGGGACAGTGGCCTGTACGGGGATCGAACCCACGACCTTGCCATTATTAGCACCATGCTCTAACCAACTGAGCTAACTGACCTTGATTGTGCCCCTTCTATAACCCTTGGGAGTTTTTTTCTAACAATTGTTTATCTCCACTCCAAAGCAAACATGGAAAAGGCATCGGAAACCATTTCTTTCAGAAACTCTGGGGAATGCCCCTAAATTTTAACATTTGTACACTGTCAAATAAACTTTGTACATATTATCAATATGTGACCTGCCCTACGTAGTTGAACAGAATTATCAATCACATATGGAACAAATCCAAAAACCTACTCCTCCCTGTCAAAACCCCCACTGGGCAACTCTTATCATAACACAATGTATTTCAGACCAATCTATCAGACGCTGTTCAAGATGAACAAACCAGAAACAAAAACTAGCACTCCTGAATAGCAACAGGGATGTTTCGACTGCATGCAATGGCATGTGTTTAAAAACACATCAAAAGATATTCATGAGCTCATGAGGTGGTATTGAATTTCCTTCTGTGTAGATTCCATCATTCTTACCAAAACGTTTAAGGTTTAGCTCAATTACAAACCCTGGGTAACCAAGTATCTTAAATATGTACAGCTTAAAAAGGAACTTGCTTTCATTCAAGAAGACACATAACACAGGAAGGAAACACAGAAAAAAGTGAAAATGAAAGGTATGAAAAGGAACAGTATAGGGAAAAAATAGAAAATACCAAGGCTATCAGGATAGCATTGCAGGGTATAAAATCCATGGCCAGTATCACCCCAAGAGTAAGGGTTATACAAATGCAGCCATTCAAAACGAGCAGGCGATACCGCATTATTTTGCGGTGCGCTTGACGCAGCCTACCGCGAGTTACCGTAAATTCTCGTATAGTACCTCATAATACCACGTGGTACTGCAAGTAAAATAATAGTATCCGGCTTGTAATTTAAAAAAAGTAAAAAACCACACTCAAAATGCAATTTAGAGCTTTCTGGCAAGAAGAGACACCCAAATTAAAAATGTAACATGCCACTGTTTGTGCATGAATAAGGTTATACTGTTATTTCCTTAGATATGCGATTCCATGGTTTTTTTTGGAATCCCCGGCGGAACCAGGCATCCATAAGAATCAAGTAATAGGTTTATTCCATGCTGAAAAAAAGAAGAAAGAAAACATTTTCCATAAGAATCAGTCCTTTTATATAGCGCCTTTAAAGGTGGCTTCTCAAAATGCTTTACAGGATAAAAACAACAATAACAACAACAACAATATTGTATTTCATTGCACTTTGACAGATCGTCCTTAAATCAATTGTTGATTTAAAGTTTGACAGTAACCCTAACACTAACCCTAGTTTATTTTTTCAAAGAAATGTTTGTTAAAAAAAAAGTAATGGCTCTGGCTGGATTCGAACACCCAACGTGTGATGTACAGAGGCAGGCATTCAAAACAAACAGGCGATACTGCCTTATTTTACAGTGCGCTGCGCGCAGTCTACCATGAGTTACCGTAAATTCTCGTATAGTACCGCAAGTAAAATAATAGTATCCGGAAATTCCACAAGGTGGAGCTAATAAAGCTCAACCTCTCATGTTTGAGCTGTCGCCATCAAAGTCTTTAACAAAGATTTTACTAATTGTATTAATAATGAATGACCTTGGACAAGCTGTAAGCTCAAAGTATTGCCCTGGTCCACATTCTTTTTTTCATTTACTGTCTTTGTAAAAGTAACACCACAGCATTTCGCAATCACGCATTTGTTTCCAATCATGGAAAGTACAGTAATTTTTGAGAATCTCCGATTCACCATGCCTTTCACATGCTCATAAAAGAGATTGATTTAGGAACATAAACATATTACTGTATGCAAACTGTACTGTATACAGTAAGTATATGTATATTTAATGTCTTTACTGTGCCCGTTTAAGTATTGAAGATTTATATGGATTTATACCACTGAAGGGAAATCTTAGTAGCTGAGCATAAAAACAATAGGAGCATACTGTAAGGAGTGTGAAGGCCATAAACTATATTAATTTTGGAACATAAACATACAGTATATGGCTGGTCTCGGTACTTTAAAGAAAACATGCACACCAGTATTCAATTTCTCCCTAAACATTTTAAGCATCATAGTCTTTAACTAACGTGATACTGGAGTCAACAAGCATACTTTTAGAATTTGATTAAAAGGGAATATAATATGGAATCGCGTATCTAAAGAAATTAATAACGATATAATTATATTCATGTACCGCAACACAAGAATAGTACACGCTGTACGATGTCTGTTGATAATGTTTGTAGGGCTTTTTCAACACTCCTCATGTGACCTTGCCGGTGGCGCTTTGGGTTAGGTTCCTGATTCCCACGTCACATGTTGTGTGTTCAAAGCCAGCTGAACCCATGACTTTTTTTTAACAAACATTTCTTTGAAAAAATAAAATGTTACCCTGGGTCAGAGATTAAATAAGAATTAAACCAGTTTCACAGGTATTTTCAAGGTTGAAACAGTATTGTTGTTATTGTTTTTATCCTGTAAAGTGCTTTGAGGAGCCACCTTTAAAGGTGCCATATACAATAAAGTTAATTATTATTACTATTGTTAATTTGCTGGACAGCGAGGTGAACATTATTACGCAGAAGACAAAGATAGCGATTTACGTTGCATTGTGAATTGTGCTGCTGTAATACAGTTGTAAATAATTAAAAGTCTAAACAGTATCAGGTTTATTTAAGGGTTTTAAATAAAGGTGATTTAAATGCGATTTAAATCAATATAAATGTTTATATTGTAACGCATAGGTGACTATTCATTGTTATTAAAATGACTTAAATTCGATCATGTTGTGATATTTAGAAATATAAATTTGTTTGGTGCAAGTGAAGTTTTATTTAATCTTTGACCCAGGGAAACATTTTATTTTGTCAAGGAAATGTTTGTTAAAAAAAAAGTCATGGCTCCAGCAGGATTCAAACACTCACCATGTGATATGGGAGTCAGGAACCTAACCCACAGCGCCACTGGCAAAGTCACATGCATAATGCTGAAAAAGCACTGCAGAAACATTATCAACAGACAATGTACAACGTGTGCTATTCTTGTGTTGCGGTACATGAATATAATTACATCGTTATTAATTTCTTTAGATACGCAATTCCATATTATATTCCCTTTTAATCAAATTCTAAAAGTATGCTTGTTGACTCCGGTATCACGTTAGTTAAAGACTTCGATGCTTAAAATGTTTGGGGATAAATGGAATACTGATGTGTATTTTTTCTTTAAAGTACCGAGACCAGCCATATACTGTATGTTTATGTTCCAAAATTAATATCGTTTATGGCCTTAACACTCGTTACAGTATGCTCCTATTCTTTTTATCTTCAGCTACTAAGATTTCCCTTCAGTGGTAAAATTCCATATAAATATTCAATACTAAAACGGGCACAGTAAAGACATTTAAATCTTTCTACGGCTGACCAATGCACCACGGGTGCCCCTGTCGGTCAACCAATCACATACCACGGTATTTTGGTTAACGATGCGCGAGGCCGTAACCAATTACCCGCGGTGCGTGTCTGTGCCGCGTACTTTGAATGGCTGCATCTGTACTTTTCCTGTGTTAAATAGCATGGATGAACGACAGTTGGGAAATTATTTAATAGTTTTTTACTCCCATGTTGAAATGAAATCCACAACCACCCCAATCTATTGTGCTGACCTCCAAGTACTGGTGAGCCTATTTACATTGATTAAGCACAGGTATGTAAGCAGTTTAGGAAATTTAGAAAGAGTGGTAGAAAGAGTATAGGTCCCGATAATGTATGTGGAAGAGTTCCATAATCTTGTGCATATCAGCTGTGCTATATTTCCAGTTTGCTTTTCCAAATGTCCTTAAATCCACAATTAATCCCCTCTCTGTGGAAGAAATCCATCAACCCTATTCCAAAAACTGCCAGCCCAAATGAGCTTAACAGCTTCAGGCCAGTTGCACTTCCATCTCTCCCAATGAAAAGTCTGGAGAGACCTTTAAAGCAATACATTACAAAGAACACACAGGACCTTACTGACCTCCTGCAGTCTGCTACAGACAAAGGAGGGGGGTAGATGTTACAGTACTTACATTGTTAAATCTGGTCTATCAGCATCTTGACCAGACAAGGTCATATGTAAGGATATTATTTGTTGACTTTTCCTCTCCTTTTAACACAAAACTACCATGCTTGCACAGAAACTCTCAGAGAACTTCAAGCTTAACAAGCTAAGGATAACACGGGTCTTAAGCTTTTTGAGAAATAGGACTAAACAGGTCAATTTTTGGAACTGTTTATCTGACATTAAACATATACTTCTCTATACTTCCTCTGGATTACCACAGGACTGTGTTTAGTCCCCCTTACTGTACATTTTCTATGATAATGATTTTAAAAGCAAACACACAAATAGTAATTACGTTAAGTTGACACAGCCCTGGTCAGTTTATCAGTTTATCAGTTTATCAGAAAACCATTATAGACCCATTCTAAATGATTTTACTAAATGATCACTTGTCAGTTAAATGTTTTAAAAGTAAAGGGGATGGCCATTGATTTTAGGAAAAATCCAACACTCCTCCAACCTATTGTAATTAATGGTTAAACGGTAGAAATTGTCAATGATTACAAGTACTTAGGAGTGGTCATAGACACCCTGAGTTGTTCTGTGACACCATTTATAAAAAAGGACACCATAGACTGTTTTTTCTAAGGAAACTAAGCTATTTCAAGGTAGAACCATCCTAACACTTTTCTGTAATAGACTTAGGAAATCTTTCATGCCCACTGCAGTATCTCTGTCAAAGTGATATTGTCTCCTTTATGTTGCTGCAACACTGTTGAACTGATTTCTTGGATGGTAAAATTTTGTCTGTCATTGTTGTTATGTTGGGAGTGTACTACACATGCAGCCATTCAAAATGGGTGAGGTATTTCGCAGCATACCCCGGTGGGCGTGTCGCGGTATCACGCAGTTCACGTGTGTCAC